TGCTTAAAGTCTTGGCCTGGAAATGGGGAAGCTGATCGACAGCTCTTGAGTATAGACTATATTCTAGCCATAGCTATATTCTATGGAAAGGAAAATTAATGGACAGTTAACTTTCTGACACATCAGTTTAGTGACAGGTTCAAAGTGTGGTGGGAGTCTGTGTGCTTCACTACTGGTGCTATTGACATATGTTTTAATAAGATCATGCTCAATTGATAACATTAATACGGAAGTGCTCTGTCTTTCCTCTTATGAAGAGGTGGTAATAGCATTGCCAATTCCTTTCCCTTGAAAATTTGGTAAAATTCACCTCTTAGACCCTGTAGGTTTTGTGTTTTAAGGGGTGGTAGCCCTTTGACAAGGGCTACCCTTCTTCTGTGGTAAATGGTCTGTTTATATTTTCTGTACTTTTAGGGGGTGTCACTTTTGGTGATTGGTATTTTTCTAGGCAATTATCTATTTTGTTCAGGTTTCCAAATATATTTTTTAAGGCAGATTTGTCTCATAATTCTTTGAAATTCCTGTTTATTCTACAATCTTATTTTTTGTGTTACTTGTAATTTCCTTCTTGACTTACTTAGCTCATGACTTTTTACTATCATTTTCAAAAGACTGGATCTCAGATTTATTCACACATTCAATAATTTTCCTGTTTCTCTTTTTTTTTTTTTTCACTTTTTTGGCCAGGGCTGGGTTTGAACCCGCCACTCTCGGCATATGGGGCTGGCACCCTACTCCTTGAGCCATAGATGGTGCCCTCCTGTTTCTATTTCTCATCTCCTTTCATTTTTTATTTCTTTAGGCTACTTTTTTTTTTTATTAGTTTCTTTAAGTTCACTATTGTTCTAATATCTTGAGTTGAATATTTTTAATATATTTATATTCAGTCATTCTCATTATCATAAGTTTTTGAATTTTCTTAATCACAGCTTTAGCTGGATCTACAGGTCTAATATGTAGTGTTTTTATTATGTTTACTTCTAAAATATCTTATAATCTCAGATTGGATTTCCTCTTTCATCCAAAACTTGCTTGAGAAAAAATTTAAAAGTTCTAGGTGATATGGATTTTATCTCATCCCGTTTATTTTCTAGTGCATTGTTATCAGGGAAGTTGCCTATATAATTTCTAGTTTTGAAATATAGCTACTTATATGAATATCACATGGACACTGGAAAACAAAGTGCATTTCTTTTTGTTGTTTGTAGCCAGTAGAACTTAATATCACTATCGGCATCATTACAATGTTTACATTTTCCACACAGGTATTTCTGTTTTGTCCACTTGGGACTCTTTATGTTGATATGTTTCTTATTGTTTAATGTAATTTTTAAAATGAATTTGAAACTATGCTACCTGGTGCACAGTATCACAACTGTTAGATCTTTACTAAGGCTTGCATTTTTTTTTTCTTGTTTATTCGACCATTACAACATGACCTCCTTTTTCTTGTTTATTCACAATGTGTTGGACCTTATTCACTGTTAAACTGTGACTTCTTTCTTTTAATTAGCTCAGTATGTTTTTTACTATTTTACTTTCTACATTACTAAGTAATATTAATTGCAGTATATATTTACGTTTTTTAGTCAACCTGAGTGATTTTTACACCATTTATATTTGCCTCTAGGACATACAGATTTTGTCTTGTGTGTTTACTATATTTTGTTGGCATTGTTTTAATTGCTTTTATTAAATGTTTTGCTGAATGGTCTGTAGTTTCCTTGTTTTATTTAGTAAATATTCCTTTCTCAATTTAGAAAGTTTACATTTTTAGAATCGTGGCTAAGCCTGCGTACTTCAGAACAAAAGCTTGATATTAACACTTTTTTACAGCAGGCAATGTTAACCATGCAGAGTGAAATACAAGAGAATAAGGCAAGAAATGAGAGAAAGCCAATGTGAGACATTATTGAATTAGCAACTGCTTGGTTCCAAACCCAATTATTTGCAAAAATCCTAAGAAATAGGGTAAATGGGATGATTCTCATTTTCCATATATGTATGTTGAGACTTACAAAGTTGAAAAACTTGCCCAAAGTCATGCATACAACAGAGGCAATGGGTCCATTGATTTTGTCACTGGTTCTTTTCTTCACATTTAATAAGTGCTTAATATATGTGTGGGGCAATGAGTTAGTGAAACAGACATAAACATCTCAATGCTGAGATCAAAGTTTAATGACGGCATATTCCTTGGCTGCCTTTAGTTCTAATCCCTGCCATTATCTTTTCTTTTCTTGTTTATCTCATTTCATATGTGTTGTCTGTACATGTTCTCAGTGCTCGATGGACAATTCTTTCATCTATGTATTTTAATGGCCGTTTCCATTTACAGTGAAGTGGTAACATCACTTTAGTTTCTAATTGCCAGTAATTGGTGGGTTTCTTCATTGCTCATTTTCCACCTAAGAGACATTTCTTCAGTAGAATTTCTTCCTTTTCCATTCCAAGCATTTTCAAATGCTGCAAGATGTCAACACACTCTGAAGAGTAAGACTGAAGAATGGTCCATCCTTTGCAAAATTTGTTAGGCTGGGCACGGTGACTCACCCCTGTAATCCTAGTACTCTGTGAGGCTGAGGCAGGTGGATCACTTGAGCTCACTAGTGGGAGAACAGCTTGAGCAAGAGTGAGACCCTGTCTCTACTAAGAATGAGAAACTGAGGCTAAAGGATAACTTGAGCCCAAGAGTTTAAGGTGGCTATCAGCTATGATTCCAAGTCACTCTACCAATGATGACAAAGTGACTCTGTCTGAAAAAAAAAAAGAAGTGTGTTTTATGAAGACTGCAGGTTATTGAAGAAATTGAATGAGGGCAAATCCTGTTAGATCAGGAGACATATAACCTTTTGATGCAAATATTTAAGCATTAAATTTACTGCCTTTTTATGTCACAATAAAAGTAACGTTAATATTTACTAAAGTTTAATAAGGAACCTAAATAAACCAAAACAATGTTCAGAGAAAAAGATACATTAAAGTGAAAAAAATTTAATAATATTTTTAGTATCAAATTTTTAACTACCTCAAAAATTAGTTATTTCAAAAGAAGTGGTAATCTTCACTTTCTTACCACTAACAAACTAGATAAGATATGGGCTTGTAGTGGGTAGAATTGTGTCTCTTAAAAAGATATGTCAAGTTCTAACATCTAGCACCCAAGAATATGACCTAATTTGGAAACAGGTCTTTGCAGATATAATCAAGTTCAGGTGAGGTGGATTATGGTGAACCCTAATCCAGTGCTGGTCGCCTTCTAAGAAGAGGAAAATGTAGACATAGAAGCAGACATGGAACACAGAGCATAACTGGCTGTGTGACAACAAAGCAGAGATAAGAGTAACACCACTGCAAGTTAAGGAACACTAGGCATTGCAGGGAAAAAGCTAAAAAAGTATTCTTCCCAAGGGCCTTCAGAGGAGGTTTGGCCCTTGATACCTTGATTCTGGACTTTTAGCCTTGAACTTTTAGACAATCAATTTCTGTCATTTTAAGCTACTCAGTTTGTGTTCATTTGTTACAGCACTCCTAGGACACTAATACAGGACTTTTTTATAATTGATGAAAATCAAAATAGGTAATGTCTATAATGATTTTTTACTACCTTTCATAATTAAACAGTGCCGTATTCCATATGTAATAATTCGAGTAATAGGCATAATATTTCAAGCTGATAAACAACACTTACTAAAAAAAAAAAACTAAATCTTTGAAATATATAACTTAAGACATAGCTTTGTTATTTTAGAATTGTAGAACTTTTATTTATATACCTTGCTTACAGACTTACTTTAACATAGATACCTATAATAGATTACTAAGAATAAGCAACGAAAAGCAAAAGACAGTGAATATCAATCCTAAATCCAATAAAGTTTCTAGTTAGAATTAACATAAAAAACTTATGCACTTTTTAATATAACTTTTATGTTTTTTTTTAAAAAAAGGAAAGCAACTTATTTCATCCAAATTTAGTAAAGACTCTTAAAATCTTACTTTAACTACACCAGAGAACAGTCATCTTACCATAAACATTTAACTGCTTTATTACTACGAACTAAAGCATCTTTCTTTTGCTCTATTCTCTCTTGCCAAATTTCCCATATATATGTTTAATTATAGATTTTTGCATTTACTGAAACCCAAATTGCTTAGTGTGTTCAACACAACCATTCATAGAAATAATACAAACATATGGCAAATCTATGATGTTATCAATTAGTAACTAAGAACCATACATGAAGTAGAAAAAAGACGAAAATACAATTATACAGATTTTCATACATGTGTATGATATTTACCAAACACATTTATATTAGTTTGAACTTTATTATAAGATAGGAGGCAAATGCATATATCAACTATTCACTTTAAAAAAACAATAGGTATTTTGTTTTAAAAAATGGAAGGAAACAACAGCTGCTAAGAGCTATTTCATTTAACGGTAAAGACAAAATTGATCTTTCAAAACTAACAGCTGTATAAATAATTCAGCCTGCAAAAATTCAATTTTTAAAACTGAAATAATTTATCACCATTATAAGAATTCAGAAAATGTATTAAAGAGACTCTAAACTCCTCAGTGATTACTTCAAAACCATAAAAAGGCATCACAAAAGGAACAGATATGGGTATCACCAAAGGAACGGATATGGGCTTCATAGTTCAAAAGAAATGAATTTTGTTGAGTTTGTCAAACTCAAACTTCTTCCTGAAATTACTATTTCATTGAAGTAACTACATTGAAAATAAGAGGTACAAACAGAGGGTAACATTCTGGTAGACTTATAGGTACTTATAAATATCTGCCCCCACAAATATGTGAACAATTGATCAGAAAGATAATGCTGTGAACATAAAATAAAACTGGAAGGTCAGAAGGCACATTCTGAATATAACCGAGTAAATGAAAGAGAATGGAGGGAATACTAAGAAAGTAAAATCCTCTAGAGACTATCACTTGAGGTCCCCCCAAATTTTAAAAAATTCACATGAACATTTAAATCTTCTTATGCAAAAACAACAAAAAAACTTTCTCACCAAGTTTACAGGGCTTTTTATTATGATCAGCTCCAAAAAAAGTTTAAAAAAATTATTAATGACAAATAAGAGCAACATTCTATGAAGCACCTCATTTTCTCATTTTTCCTTAAACTAAAAGAAAACCAGGTAACGTTAGTGTGGTACAGAGTTCTCTGTGGATTCAGCGCTATTTTCCTTATCCTGCTTTCCTTCCTCCTGTGGTGAATTTAGTTCATTTCTGCTATCTTCTTCTTCACTGGAATCACTATCTGATCCATCTTCAACCCTGACAGATTGTTTGTCCTGGGAAGAACTGTCATAGGCTTTGTTTGTGGGAACAGCTCCTTTCCGCTGGGGCAAGATAGTAAAAAAGGCTTCTTGCCAGTCTCTGGTTTCCAGGTATTCCAGAATAATCTCAAACACTGCAACAAAGACAAACTCCATACATTTCTTAGCCAGGTTCATTACAGTGCTATATACTGTCTTTTAACATACACTGTCTTTTGCTAAGAGCATTACCTTGTCCTAATAACTACTTTGTTCTTATCTTTTCCTTCTTCTTTTAGCCACTAAGGCCAATCTGCCCCAAGGTTCTACTGCCTGTTACCTCCTTTCTAGATTTTCCTCGGTTCAGTTCTTAAGTACTCAGAAATTTACAGTATCCCCTGTCAATCATAAATAATAGGCAAAGGACCTCTGTAGTTTCCTTCCTATTCTTTTTCAGTCCTCTCACTTCTTTATGTGCTAAGATACACCTAGAAAAAAATGATTAACATTCATCTAAATTTCTTCTATCTGTCCTATAAGGAGCCACTCACTCTGAGGAGTGTCTTAACCTGCTTTATTTTTATGTTGCAAGTAAAGAATTATCAATACTGAATATCAACACACTGAGGAAGTGCTAACTTAGATTACTTTATAGAAAAGTAATTTTCGGCTCGGCGCTTATAGCTTAACCGGCTAAGGCGCCAGCCACGTACACCTAAGGTGGCGGGTTCGAATCCCCAGCCCGGACCCGCCAAACAACAATGATGGCTGCAACCAAAAAATAGCCGGGCGTTGTGGCGGGTGCCTGTGGTCCCAGCTACTTGGGAGGCGGAGGCAGGAGACTTGCCTGAGCCCAGGAGTTGGAGGTTGCTGTGAGCTGTAATGCCACGGCACTCTGCCCAGGCGGACAGCTTGAGGCTCTGTCTCAAAAAAGAAAAAAAAAAAGAAAAAAAAAAAAAAAAAAAAAAGAAAAAAAAAAAAAAAAGAAAAGTAATTTTCACAATGTATCAGAGGTTTTAGAAGAAGTCTGTTCCCTGAATCAATACCTTCATTTCTATAACTCCCTAGAGCCTAAAGTATTTGGCATAGGAAAAGAGTTCAATAAGTAGTTGTTTACTGATTAAAATCTCTCCTTAACAAATTTAGTCCAAGAATGTCTATTTCAGTGTTATTTATGCAAATAGCAAAAAGAAAGAAACAATTTAGCAGGAGGATGGTTAAATTATTATATATTCAGATGATGGAATATTATACAGCCATGGAAAAATAAAATGATAAATGGGGTTATATAGCATAGTATGTAACAGAGTATAAGAATCCAGTCATATAATATGTGTATGTACACAACATATATGCACAGGGAAAAAACTGGAAGCCAACACCAAAAAAGACTACAGTTAATTTTTTAGAGTTTTGTACATGTTCAAAATTTCTAAACTGTGAGTTATTTCTCTTATTAAACAAATTTTAAATGATTACTTTTTATAATTCTGACTCCAGCAGGATGTAATATTTTCTACTTGTCCAAATTGCAAATGATAATGTACCTTCTCACAATGTTTACTCAGGTATATTTTCAGTTTACTTTTATAGCTTACCATGATTAACTGCCAGAACTTTTCTGCTATTCATCTTCACAAAATTTCCAAGAGGGAGCTGTGCGTGATCAATTCCATAATCTGATGCTTGTTTATATGTGAGTCCCTAAAACAAAAACACTATGACTTGAACTAGATTCTAGTGTCCAACAGGGGTGCCCCGCCTTTTCCTCTGCCACACATTAGATGAATAAGAGTGTCTCTAGCCACACATTAAATACACAAACACTAATGAAAGCTGGTTAGCAAAAAAAAAAAAAAAAAAAAGGAAGGAGAAGAAAAGGTCTGTGCATACTTCTGGTAATATCTGACACCACACATAAGCAAAACCTGTCTCTCAAATCACATGCAGCCCACTGGCCTCAGGTTGGACACTCCTAGAGTAGAACATTACATTACTTCAAAGTCTATGACAGTATCAGTAATTTTTAGAACAGATTGTAGATGCAAAATATTTTCTGAAGAGGGAAGGTGTGCATGCATGTGTGTGTTTAACTGCTAACTTTGTAACATTCTCTTGACAATAAATATAGTGAGAATGTTTAGAGCATATGTTTTAACCTTCTCAATTTACAAATGAGGAAACCAAAGACATTATCTTCCCTACTCCACACTAGCAGAACCACAAGAAAAATGTAGCTCACTCATCTCCAGACTCAAATATCTTTTCATCATTCCCCCTTGCCTTTTTCTCCATTTAAAATATAGTCATGCACAGCATAACGACATTTTAATCAATGACAGACAGTATGTATGACAGTGGTCCCATGAGATTACAAAGGAGTTGAAAAACTCTTGTCACCTAGTGATGTTGTAGCTATCAGAACATCATAGTGCAATACATTACTCACATGTTTGTGGTGATGCTGGTGGGAATAAACCGTCTATGCTGAAGTTATATAAAAGTGTAGCACACACAATCATGTACAGTCCATAATACTTAATAATGATAAAGAAGAATTATGTTACTGATTTACGTATATACTATAGTATATTTTTATAGTTATTTTAGAGGTAATTCTCCTACTCATAAAAAATAAAAAAGGTAACTGGAAAATAGCCTCAGGCCGATCCTTCAGGAGGTATCCTAGAAGGCAGCAATGCTGTCATAGGAGATGACAGCTCCATGTCTGTTACTGTTCCAGAAGACCTTCCAGTGGAACAAGATGTAGAGGTGGAAGACAGTGATTTTGATGAAACATGGGTGTGTTTGTGCCTTAGTTTTTAACAAAAATTTTTAAAAGTGAAAAAAAATATTAAAAGTAGGAAAAAGCGTCCAAAATAAGGACATTAAGAAATTTTTGTACAGCTGTACAATGTGATTGTATTTTGAGCTAAGTGCTAAGAGTCAAATGGTTTTTAAAAAATTTTAAATATATAAAGTACAAAAGTGAGAGTAAACTAAAGTTAATAATTGAAGAACAAATTTTTAAATAGTGTAGCCTAAGTGTACACTGTTTATAAAGTCTACAGTGATGTAAGTAATGTCCAGGCCTTCACAGTCACTCACCCCTCTCTCATTGATTCACCCAGAGCAACTTCCAGTCCTATAAGTGCCATTCATGGTAAGCGCCCAATACAAGTGCACCATTTGTATCATTTAACTATGCTTCTTCTATCTTTAGGGATGTCTAGACACATAAATACTTACCACTGTGTTATAATTGCCGACACAGTATTCAGTACAGTAGCAGGCTGAGTGTACACGTTTGTAGCCTTGGTGCGTAAATTTCAATGGATTTGGAATTGATTAGTAGCAGCATCTTCTATCAATACAGTATCATGTTTAAGCATGTGGGCTCTGGAGCAACTTGTCTCATTTCAACTCTCTGTTTTGACACCTACTACTATTGATTTTAGATTTAATTTCTCTGTGCCTCATATTCCCTATCTGTAAAATGTAGATAGTAATAGCACTGACCTCACTGGGCTATAGTGAGGATTAAGCAAACTAACTTTGTTTTTCTCTTAAAGTGATGAAACATGGTACATGCTCAATAAAAATTAGCTATTATTGGTACTGCTGTTACTATCAGGAAACTCTGACTTAAAGTATAAACAAAGGCAAAAATACAAAGTTAATAGTACCTTGTGATGGTTGTGATCTACTAATCCTCCAATCACATAGGCCTTTGATTCATCTAATTCCTTCAGTACATTAGGTGAATCTGATGTAAGATAAACCAGATCTTCTTTTTTCATGAGTTCACTATAGTGCTCTGATTTGATGTGTATATCCTTTAAGACACAGGGGAAAGACATTACTAATTTACAGGAGTTTGTGAAAGATGGCTAAAAATGTATATCCTCTTTTCCCAAAACAAACCCATCCAAAAACATCTGAAATAAAGTTTGAAAGAGTATCATTACAATGTGTTATTTAGAACTTACTACTTCAATCCTTATTGCCTTACACTTTGGTCATTTAAATAGCCTCTTAATTTTATTTCCCTGTCACTGGCCTCCGACCTCTACAATTTACTTCCACACACTGATGGCAGGCTCCTTTTCTAAAAACGCTACTTTTGAAGTTTTATCTTTCACTGCAGAATAAAGTCCAAACTCCTTAATTTAAAAACTCTTTCCTAAATATGGCACTAACCTACCTTTCCAATTTTATCTCTGTTCCAACAAAACAAATGCATTTTTACTGCCACATATTTGCTGATATTGTTCTCCAGTCAAAGAATGCCTTCTCCAATTACTTCCTCTCCATCTACATGAATCATGAAAGGAAATTGCTTATAGATTTAGTTAATCTCATGCATCTATTTCTACAAAGATTTGAAAACTTCTTCACCAGAATTGTCAAGTCACAGGTACAAAACTGAACAACAGTTAGGATTTTGCAAACAACATTAACTGCATAAAAGAGGATATATCACCAGTCTCAGATGACAGTTACCCAATAATTCTTAAGGAAATCAAGAGAAAAGCAGAACTCTCACCTAAGATATATAATTTATTAATAAACAGCTACTTTTCTGAAAAGTGGTATATTATAAATTTGATCCCTATACTCAATAAAGGCCTCAAGAGAAACCCGTGTCATTAGAGACCAGGGAAACTCATGTCTCTCTGGAAAGCTGGTAGTATAAATGTTAAAGTTAAGAAGCCACAAAAATAACTGAAAATCCACCTATTATAATTTATTAAATTACTTCTTAGGAAAATAGGCACAGATATAAGAGTTGATGAATATATTGTACTTAAAAAGCCTTTGAAAATATTTCATATTATAGGTTATTAATGAAACAAATGCAGTCAATATGGAATTAGTGCATGTGAAAGGGAAAGTTTATCAATAAGATAATTGACTTTGAGAAAGAAAAAAAGTATAGGAATAACCCAGTACTGTCTGAATAGAACAGAGTTCCTTAGGCATTGATACTAAAGCCAATCTTAGTCATCTTTACCAATGACTGAGGAAAATTCAGTCTAATAGGAAAAAACTTCAAGCCACAAATGCAATTTTAAGTCTTCTAGTAGCCACATTAAAAAAAGTGAAAAAAAAATAGGTGAAATTAATTTTAATAACACATTTTATTAATGCAATATGCCTATAATGTTATTTCAACATATAATTATTTCAAAAACTAGGAGATATTTTGTATTCTCTCGCCCTCTTTCTGGTACTGAGCCTTTTAAATCCAGCATATATTTCATATGAAGAGGGATGAAATAGCACATTTCAATTCACAATTCAAAATATTACATTTCAAGAGTTTGACAGCCACACAAGGCTGATAGTCACTTGTTGAACATCACAGATTTAGAAGAAACCAAATGTAGGCACACTTCCAAATTTTAGAATGACTTCACTCTTCTAGATAATGTATAACATAGCTGGCTTGCTAGGAAGAAATTATACAAAGACCTTTCAAATTGTCTTTTCTTTAAAAAAAATGTTTTAAAGATAGCAAAAGAGTAGGCAAGAATTAACAAGAGCAAGTACAAACTAACACACATCTTCCTCTCTTCTTCAGCTTCTTCCATCTGTAACCTCGGACGTAGGTTTGGTGACACATAGGGTTTGCAGACTGCTAAATTTAGTAGCATTCCATGAAATTTAGGTAAAAATATAGACCTTTAGAAGCGTGAAAATACAAAAAATTATGTGAGAGTTGATGTGTTTTAATTACCTTCCAGTTGACCCATCCTTTGTCATTTTCATCCATGTTTTTTTTCAGCTGGCCTCCATGGCTTGTCAGGTAAAACTAACAGGAGATTGGTATGTACAGAAAGAGAGAGCAAATAACTATTTAAGTCCAATTTTTCTTTCCCTCATCTACTCACTTCATCATTAATGATACACATGATATATTTATTCTCAATGGAAAAAAATATTTACATGCTTTAGGCATACAATAAAATGTGGTAGAAGTGATATGTGTTGTATAACTCATAACTTACTAGCTGTAGTATTCCATCTACATTTTCATCCTTCTCATTCATGTAGTTAAAATCTGCCTCTACTTGATCTCTTTTCTGCAAAATCCTTGCTTACAGGTCAAGTTCCCATTACTCCCCTTCGACTTTTTTTTATTTTGGGAGGGCACCACAGTTTTTGGTTTTTTTTTTTTCTAACCAATCCATAGTCTTTGTAATTTTTCTTTGATTCTGAACCCTGACATCTATATAAGTCTTAATCAAGGGTAAGAAGAGGCCCATTACAGATTAAAGGGTATAGTTAAAAATAAGGGTATAAAGGATTATGATAGATGCAGAATAAAAAAATTATAAAATTGAAAAAACAAAATACAAAAATATAAGATTACTATCACTTGGTAAAAAGAAAATATCTAACTAAAAATAAGAGATCCTGGTTCTTAACATCACTGAGCCATTGTTAATGTTTAGATCACCCAGAACTCAAACAAAAAGACCCTATTCTTAACAGCAGCCAACTAGTCTCCCCAATCACTCCCTCACCCAGCTTAAGAAATACTTCTCAAAATTATCAGTGACTCAAAAGGACAAAAAAATCCTTTAAATAGATAAAACTTATGCAATAGGTACCACAGCATACATCAGGCAATGGTAGCCACAGCCTCTACCACCCTATCTCAGGAATTCAAAGTGGAGAAACTGGTATAAAAATGTGTATGTCCTATAACAAAGACATTCAACTACACAGCTGTGAACAGGTTAATGTGTCCAAGACTGATAATGACTACAAAGTGTCTTAGAATGGCATATGTGAAAATATGCTTAAAACAGTTTGCTTTCTTTTTATAAAAAAGAAAACATTTTTCAAATAGGCATTAAACAAGATCACCAGCAAGGCTCTGGCAAAAACAATCAGAATTGGCTCGGCGCCTATAGCTCAACCGGCTAAGGCGCCAGCCATGTACACCTAAGGTGGTGGGTTCGAATCCCCAGCCCGGACCCGCCAAAACAACAATGACGGCTGCAACCAAAAAATAGCCGGGCGTTGTGGCGGGCGCCTGTGGTCCCAGCTACGGGAGGCAGAGGCAGGAGACTCGCTTGAGCCCAGGAGTTGGAGGTTGCTGTGAGCTGTAATGCCACGGCACTCTACCCAGGGGGACAGCTTGAGGCTCTGTCTCAAAAAAAAAAAAAAAAAAAAAAAAAAACAGAATTGTAATCTATGTCTTTTGCCATGGAGGATACAAAGGAAAACTGGAATCTGTTTTAAATTCTTCAGACATACCTGCACAGGGTGCAGTGCTCGGCGGTTTTCTGCATAACATCGCTGAATCTGCTTATGAAGTTTCTTAATGTCCTAGAATAGTACAATTTTTAAAGCAAAGTTATCAAAATACAGTATGCCCATTCCATGATCTTAAAGGGCTACACTAAGCAGAAAGGATGACTAGATAGGTACAATTTTCTTCTTTAATACAAGTCCATTCTGATAATTTTCATTTGATTTTGTTACATACTAAGAAAAAATACAAATAAATACTCTGTAGGTGACCCATTATTTCATATTTTGTACTACTCTCTTAAGAGACAAAAACAAATAATTCTTTGAGAGCCATATTATAATTTTCACACCTTACCAATGATGTTGGTAAAACCCCACAGATCTCAATGATTATGAATATGTAGTTATTCAGCTTTATTATCTAATGAGGAAATGTGTGTCTTTGTCTCCCCTATCTACATACACAGACACCCATATACATAAATATACATACACAGGTTGTCCATAAAGTCTGTGTGCAATTTAAAATATTAAACTTTGCTTTGTATAGCAAAAGCAGTTTACTAGCTAATTTAACTTAGAGGGTAGAGATTTGGAAAAACTTAAGATGCATTTTAGTACATAAGTTTATATGAAAGTGATACTACACATAAAAACAAGAATGATTCAGCCTAGTTGACCTGCAGAATTTTTCTGTACATAGTAATAATTCGTAATACCTTTAAAACCATCAAGTCATCAAAACTACAGTCAATGATAAGGCGGAGGGTGCTGTGAACAGCTTGTCTTCGAATACGTTTTCTGTCGTTTTCATCTGATTTTGATTCCAGTTGACATTGTCGCTCTAATTTCTTTCTCTTGCGTTTTTCCTTTCGCTTTTGTCTAAAATTAGTAATTACAATAACTTTGTGTTACCTGTATACTCAGATATTCATAAAACTCTTCTAAATAGAGATATGAAACATTTTGAAGTAATTAAGTTAAACCATGTGAAACTGCCACTTCTGTGAACAGATAGCTATTTATATGGCCATCTGAAAGCTTTCGATAAGAAGGAAATGAGCTTGCAAAAAATCTGATCTATCTTTCAATCTAAATCCTAACTATACCACCTCAATAGGTTCATTTGTTATTGGTATCACAGTATCTCCAAGATAATCTTTTAGATACTGAATTTGGGAGTTATGATGAATTTTACTTTCGTCATTCATCCTCTATAAGATTTTAAAACATTTATGTGGTATATTTTTGCATACTTTTTCTTTGATTTATAGCAACTATAGTTTATTTTCTCTCAGTAAATTTTGGCATTTATACAACAAATTCAGCCTAACTCTTCTCCCCCAAACCTGAAATGGTTCTTCTAACAAAAATCAAAGTCAGGCTAAAACTTGATCTTTCTGAGTTGGTTATTTTGATTCTATACCTAGGATACGGCTACTAACTATATCCCTTCTCTAAGATGATTGTTTCAAAAATTGTGGTGCTACTCATAATAGGTTCTGGGTGGAAAATCTATTGAGTGCAAGTTCATCAACACTGCTTAAAAATATTCCAATAATGTAATTCAAAGCACATGTAGTTTTAACAGCCAGCCAACAGTGATAGCTAAGTACATGTATAACCCTAATTTTAATTAACACAATCACTTTTAGGAGGACAAAGGGGTACACAAGATCTAACATTCATACTTAAGACTAGGAGTGGAGCATATACTTTTGAAACACATACTTTCGGAGTTCTCGTTGTTCTTCCCATTGTTTCTGTTTTACAAGTTTTTTCATTTGCCGTTTAGATATTGGTTCACACCCTTCACCTAATCTTGGCTTCTGGCTCTGCTCTTGATCTTCACTTAAGTCTTGCCTTTTTTCAACATTAGAAGATTGAATAAATGCTGGCAGCATTTCAGATGACATTATTTGGTGACTCTGAAAAACTGAAAAGCAACTTTTGACATCAACAGATAACTTAAAAATACACAAAAAAGTAAAAATATCCCAAATATCAAATACATATGATTAAAATTAAATCCTATTAGTAATACAGGGAAATGCAAATTTAGACAATTAAATGCCATTTATTGGCAAACACCATTTAAATATCACCTAATGTCAATTAATAAATATCATTCAGTAGCAATGCTGATAAAGGTCTGAAGAAGTAAGGTGTGGGGTTTTTTTTTTGAGACAGAGCCTCAAGCTATCCCCCTGGGTAGAGTGCTGTGGCATCACAGCTCACAGCAACCTCCAACTCCTGGGCTCAAGCAAGTCTCCTATCTTAGCCTCCCAAGTAGTTGGGACCACAGGCGCCCGCCACAATGCCTGGCTATTTTTTGATTGCAGCCATCGTTGTTGTTTTTTTGGCAGGCCCAGGCTGGATTCGAACCCACCAAATTAGGTGTATGTGGCTGGCGCCTTAGCCACTTGAGCCATAGGCACCAAGCCGAAGTAAGATGTTTTTTATATACTATTGTATGTCATGGTATAATCTTTTCAGAAGGCAACACAGACAATTTAAAAGCTTTAAAACAGTGATAATCTTTGATCTAGTAATTTATTTCCTTAGACTAATTCCTGTAAATGAATCAGAAATGTACACAAAAATATGCACTACAGTATATACACCATGTGTTCGGTTTAATGATGAAAAGCCAAAATTATTTAGTCATAAAGGGAAATAATATGTTAAATAAACAAATCAAAACAAAAACCAATACATATAGATATTTATACCCAATTGCTTTTAAAAAGTATATACACAAACATACGTTCAATTCTTTTTTTTTTTTTGGCCAAGGCTGGGTTTGAATCTGCCACCTCTGGTATGTAGGGCTGGAGCCCTACTCACTGAGCCACAGGTGCCGCCCCATATGTTCAGTTCTTACCCATGGTTTTCTGCATGTTCTGTATCTTATAAAATGAAAATATATTGTTTATGAAAAAATATTTTTAAACACAGATGGAAAAACCTTTTCTTTAGTCTTCTTTAATGCTGTAGAACAAGAGAAATAAGAATGTTTTTCATTATCTGAGTGTACACTCACAAAAGGTTTTTGACAAAAGAGATGTTATATGTTGCTTTGTAAACTTTGAACAGGACAGAAAACAAATTTGGTTTCCCCCCTCTAACATATTTCATGGTAAATAGATTAATTATAAATATTCCTCTTTAGTCATGGCTATGAAACAAAACATGAAACTTGATTTCATAATCAGTCTGGCTTTGTGGAATGTTTAGGGTCATCTCAAACATATCTTTATTTGAAGTTAACCACACACATCTTTCTCCCTATTGACTAGAACTGAACTTACCTTCAGTTTAAGGAAAGACTAGAAACAGTGAGATTCTTTTTCTCTTTAAGAGATTATCAACACCAAAACTCAGAAATGTACCTTTTATTTATCCCTACCAAAGATTAAGCATGATGCTACCAAATGTTCTACTGGCCTTAAGGAAAATTCTACGAATCTTCTTTCATATAGGATCACTAACGAGTCTGTGCAAAGACGCTAAAAGAAACAAGATAATCTCCCAAGATGTGCAGACAAAGATGTTTGCAAAACATAATTTAAACAGTGGTGTTATTATATTGTTCCCGCTTTCTTTAAAGTGCAATGCTGTAATAAGATATATGAGGATAACAAAGCAAACTTAGAAATGTACCTAATTTTGACTGAGAGACAAATTTTAAGGAGATGTGTGCTTTGGGGGCTACAAAAGCCCTGTCATTTTACTAGATCACAAAACTTCTAGTATATGTGCTGCCAAAGCAAGCACAGAACTTCTAAAAGGGGGAAAGAATTGTCTAGGAATCTAAGTAAGAGTTCACAAATTTTCCTTATTCCATTAATCAAATAGTATACTCAGTTTGGGAGAATACCCCCTAGAAAGAAAGACTCAAATTTGATCTTACACTATAAACTCCATGGGAGGAAGGATGATGTCTGCTTTTGCTTAATATTATATGGCCAGTACTAACACGGTGGTTGGCACTTAGTAGATGCTTACTATATATTGGTAGAATAAATGAGCAAATAGAATATTACAAAACATTTTTAAAAGTAATAAAAATAATAATAGTAAACATTAAGTCTCATTGTGCTTAATAAAGAATTTATTATTTAATTTAATCCTTGAAACAATCCTATTAGATAGATAACATCATGTCTACTTTACAAAGGAAGAAGGCACAGTGAGGTTAATTTGCCAAGAATTACAAATACAGCACAAAGTACATACTCAAAAATATTTTGTTGAATGATGGATGTTAGGATTCAAACCCAAATCTATCTCTACTACTCTTAGTAACCCCAAACCTTATTTAGAAAATGAGGTTTCCAAGGAGTGTAACAGAGCTATGGTGCTTTAATCCTGCTGATAGAGGCTCTGAGAAGACCTGTGTCACCGAAAAAGAAGAAAAAATAGCTCTAGGTCTATTTCTATACCACTGAATCAAAAGATTTGAACAGACTTTCTAGAGATGGTTGCCAAAAGTTTACGCTTTGAGGCATCCTCCCTCCCAATCTTGAAATACATGAAAACAGTAGATAAAATATAAAATGGAGATAGAAAAAGGTACAGCCTCTCTCAAAACTACCAATAAGAAGTAGAACAGAGACTGTTCTTGTTGGATCTACTGGGCAGTCAGACTGTAAGTTTCTTCAGCTTTAAAATAGGGAGAAAAATAATAATAATAATATAAGGCAGGAAAATGGGGGACAGATGAGCTGAAACTAGACTTGGAGTGGACCTTCTCCTTCCCTAAAAAAAGGTCTGAAAACAAGTACAAGTAGACTATGGTTTATATAAAACTGAGTACTTGGGTACTCAGCCTGAAAAAAGCTGACATAGCCTCTCAGTCACATCCTGGACCATAATGTGACAAGTGAACTTATTATATGATTTCATCTGAATCGCTCCTGTAAGAATGTGCTGTGTAGCAAGGAGGGCAGGAGGCCCCCTTGGTGGTGAGCTGAAGATGATTCCTTGTACTTCCCTTCCTAAGGGGCACATTGTGAGAGTGTATGACACACCCCCTGGGTGAGGGGCTCTTCTATAAATGAAAATTTACCCTGGAAGTGAGAACAATGTAACCTAAAGATTGTGCCCTCATATTAATTTGAATAAAGTTAAAAAAAAATGAATCTGCTGTGTACTGGTGGAACACAGAACAGGGTCAAAGGTCAAGTAGTAGATGGTATCAATAGGGATCAAGAGAGGGCTTAGGAAAGGAGAGGTAATAACTCTATTCAAGATGAATCTGCAAAGCAAAATTACAGAAAGAACTGATTTTTAAAAAGTCAATAATCAAGAAATAAATTCACTCTATACAAATTAAAAATAATAGGACAATCTAAAAATGACTTTAAAATAAGTTTAGTTAAAATATTTCAGAGAAATAAAAAAAAGAACCATAAAAACAAAAAACAAAATTGCGTGACACAAAAGGTATTAAAAAATGGAAAAACAAGAACCCATGAAACAGAAAAATAACTTGAAAATTAGAAAATGAAGACACAAACAGTTCAATATGTGAGATAAACTCAAGATTACCTGTGGTCCAAGAGGTGATTAATGAATTAGAAAACATCGTGACAATCTGACTCAAAATACAGAGAAATAGTACAGAAAATAACATGGAGAAGGTAAGCCACAGGATGAAAGAGATACAAGGGGGAAAGGGTAATGCATTCTTTAATTTTTTTCTAAAGCTAGAAAATAAGCTAAGCATTCATTTTAAAAAACTGGAGTCAGGAGAAACTCCATAAGCCTAAAATGATTAGAAGGAAATTTTTTTTTTAAATATCTATATAGCTATATCTATCTATCTAGATATATATATATTGCAATCCCCAGGATCAATTTTATTTTCCTTTCTTTCCAATGCACAGTACATTAAATAAAATCCATGTGTCCAAAACAATACTAGGTGGAGAAAATTTAAGACCCATCAAACTCAACAAGAAAACTTAAAAGCACAATTAAATTTCACAAGAAACAAACTTCCCTCTTCGTGAAATAATAATTAATATTCCAGTAGTGTACATTTCTGTTTATCAGTGGCATTATTTTGGGCTAGTTCTCCTAGAATGCTCACTGGAACGTGAACATTCATAAAAGGTAATGTTTTACAGCTCATGTACACCAGGGGGAGCATTTGCCTTTCCCATCTAAGAAGTCTCAAGTTAAATTTAACTTGACTTATCATAGTAACTTTTTAAAGCAAAGCAACCTATTAAATGCAAGGAAAGGTCATGAGCTAGTCAACCTCATCACCACCATCGTCATTATTTTCTAGCTATTCTCACTTAAGAAAATACGTTGTACTAAGTGAATCTTTTAAAGCTTTACGTAATGCTAGACATATTGAGACATAAATAAGTAGAATGCAGCAAAAATTGTGCTAGCCTGTTATTTTATAAATTACTTGCAGTATACTTTACCTATAAAAATAGCTACCAACTCACACTGTATATCGTAAGTATAATGTATACGTACTGCACTATGTACTAGTTTGTTCAGATTACCTGTTAAACAAAATACGGTACTTAAGACTATCTGATTATCTTAGTTTAAGCAATAATTTACAAAATCTGTGTGGCAGAGAGTTTGGTGTTCCTCCCTCACATGCAATGACGCTAAGAGTGCATTTTCATGCTTTCAGCCAAGTTCAACAAATACTTTACAGTAATTATAGAAATATATGTGTGAAATTTTACTTTAGCATAAAATAAAGTTGGGCGGTTCATTCACAGATAATGGTTTTCAAAAGTAAAAAAAAAAGATGACGAAGGCCATTTGATGTGGGTGGAATGAATGTGAAAAAGTATCTCAACATTCCTTGTACTTCCATTTCTCAGCACAGCTTACAGCAGGGAAGACACACTTCATAAATGAGTGAAATCCAAAGGAAAAAAGTTTTTAAAACTTGCAAGAGTTTCTCACACAGGCTAAACAGTTCTCTTATAAATTTATGGGCACAGCCTCCCTTTCAGAAAGATACAAAGGAATTCTGGAATAACTGCATAATGAAATTAATGACCTGACAGCGATAGCGAAGAAATACCCTTCTAAAAACGCGCTGACCTAGCTAAAGCCCTTTGTTCAGCTGTCAAGCCCCTTGGGCGGAGGGTAGTGATGAAGGGGGGAGAGGAGGTTCTATTTGAAAAAAGATAAAGTAATCTGTCGCTTTATACTTTGTATCTCTAGAAAAAAAAAACCAACTTAAAATATGTCAGTGAGATCAAGCAACACTTTGATCTTCTCAAAATCATCTTCAGCTCACCACCAAGGGGGCCTTACGAGCACCTGCAGCAAGGTCCCATCTGGCTCTCTCCATTTCAGAGAGCTCATCCACGTCAGCCCCTCGTAGGAGAAACGAGGTAAGGCAGGTTTAAAGAGGAAAAGCGATTGCCCAAGGTCTCCACAACCACAACTCGTTTTCCGTCCCTTCAGAGTCCAGCTTTCCCTCTCCTACTTTGCAAACGCACACTGTTCACAAACCGGAGACTAGATCCCGACCCACAAAACAAACGCTAGCCAAAAGCGCCGCACTGCGGACGGGCAGAGCCTCGCCCATCTCTCTCCTCCGGGCCCCGCCCACGAACGCACCCTAGAGGTGGGACTAGGCCGCAGCCGGCGAACCAGGGAGCGGACAGGCGTGCCGCGGAGCCGCTATCGTCTAACGTCATTTCCTTCGAGTTGCGTCGCAGCAGCCGCTTCCACAGCCCCGTACTCCTCTCCCCCGGAAATCCTCGTTGCCCGCCCTGGGCAGCATGGCACGCGGTCCTTTTACACCCGAAAGGTATCAGGAGGCAGGCGAGTGTCAGCTCCGGTGCCAGGAGACTTACCGGATTGAGGGATTGATTGGAACGTGCGTGCACAGAAAGCCTTCCAGGAGTGGTCTCAAACCGCTCTCGAGTCCTTACTCAGAAACTTCAACTCCCAGAGGCAGGGTCGGTAGTTATCCGGTGGAAGCTATGGCGGTTGTTCCTTACGTCATTGAACTGCGCCCAGTTCGGACCCGCAGCAGGAGAAAGGGGAGGGGTTTGCACTGGGCGGGGTCTGGAGCTAGGGGTTGGGGAGTGGGATGTAGTTGCAGCGCTGTCTGTTTTTCCCCTTGTGAGTGCAGCGGTATACCTGTAGGCATCAATTCATTCACGTATTTGTGCGTGTTGGGGGGGGTTAATAGGCCCTTTTTACAAAATAGACAAAAGGCTCTTAATTTTTCTGCGTTGAAAATGAAAGCTTCTCTGTCTAAATTGTTTATAATTTATACAGAAAAAAGGTTACAGTATTACATAATTTTACATAACTCGAGTGGATAATTAAATTTAAAAGTGAATCGAATTCATAGTAAGGTACATTTAAGTTTAGAATTTCTAAGTCTTTTTTATGGCTTAAGTGAAATAGCCATAGCTTTACTCTTTATTCATTACTGGAGCTATTTTTCCTATGCTGTTTTGCAAAATATCAGGTGACATTTCATTGTTTATAATATTTGACCTTATTTAATCTTTTTTCTATATATAGACCAAGTCAACTGAGGGAGAAATGAAACACAATCCCATAGATTGTCGTTTTCTATTTCGTTTTTTGTTTGGCTCTTCTTCTAATAGGTGATTATTGCCGAATTTGAAGATCAGAATAAGATTTGAAGGTTTGAATAGAAGATGGCCTTCTCAATTTGGAAAGAAATCTGAATTAAATGATTCTTGATGCTTAAAAAAATTTTACCATGCTTAAAGCCTTCAATGAATAGGAAATTAAATCCAGAATTTGAGATTCTCTAAAAGAATTAAACCTAATATGAATCTAGTTACAAAACTAAAGTCACTTGTACTTTAAACCCTAGAAATTTATTTGAAGAACTGTCAGCTATAGCATTCTTGTGGGCTCCTTTCCATTTCTTCCTTATGTCAAATCTAAAAGATCTTTGTGGACTGAGTGTTGGCAATGAAGTCTGGGTCCATTTCTGATCTGTTAGTAGGGCATCTTTTTTCAGCTGCCTCCATATGAGAGCAAAAAGTAGCTGAGGGAGGATTAGTAATTGGATATGTAGTCCTTCACATGTAGGTCATTAAATTCAGGCTGACATAGCGATGTGCCAGATCTTTCAACAGCTGTTCAGTTGCCCCTATGGGATCTGTTTTATAAATAATTACACATTTATACATTTTTTTTCAGAGTTAGCACTTGGCATCTTAGTTTTTAAGTTACAAAAAGACCCTCCATATTTTAATAATGAAGCCAAATTTTCCTTTGACATAGACATTTAACTTTGTAGTAATTTGTTACAAAACTTAAAATGATTCTACTATTAATATCAACCCAGAGTAACCACCAAAAAAGTGCCCTCCTATAAGTCAATTTAACCAAAAATAAAACATAGGAACTTAAGGTGAAATCATGTGATACAAAGGAATCTTTTGATGGATTTGTAAAATTAGTGTGTTTATTTGACCCACTTACTGAGCTTCAAACTTTTTGTGTTAATACTGGTAATACAAAGATGACTTAAATCATAATTTCTGTCCTTACAGAATCCATAGTCCAATAGGAAAGCCCACAGTAAGTAAATATTATGTACTTGAGATCCCTGTATATTGAGAGAAGTTACTAAATACTTCTTGAGGCAGACAAAATGTATTTGGACATTGAATGATTTTTACATCTTCTTGGAAAATAGGAGTTTTTCAGGTATCAGGCAAGCACAGAAGTTAAAAATATTGGGAACAGTGAAAGCAAAATGTCATGATTTTGCACATGACTGTAGAGGTGTGAATAGGATGAATGAGAAGGAGGAAAGAACTCTAAGGGTTTTTAAAATTTGAATAACTGTAGGGATATACTAAAATTAACTAGGTCACGTACAGAATACTGGAAGAAAATTGTTTTAAAAAAATAAGTTTGAGTGTGTGGATTTTGGAGAGTCTCCAAGATATCTAAGTAGAAACACTGAAAAAATTCATCAACATATTCGTAGTGTAAGCCAGTATAAGAAGTTGAACTCAAGGTGAAACTACTCTATACATCATGGGAACTGGAAGGTAACAAATGAGAGAAGCTATTGGGAGGAAAGAATCCTTCCCTCTTTAATTAGGGTACAATGTGGGCATAATGGCACCAGATTTCAATTTTTAGAATAGGAGAAACTGAATTTGTACGTACGGTCTGATTTTAAAATGTTGACAACTGTTTTCTTAGTTTTTTTAAGTGCTGAGCAGGCTAAACAAAACTTGTTTGTGGACTACATCCAGAAAATTGGCATCCAGTTTGTTAAATTGGACTGATGATCATAGAGTGAGAAAGGGGCTACAGCTTCAACTAGAATCTTAGAATAAAAAGCACAGCAATAAATATGGTTATGAATTACTCCATATGTTTGGTTTCAAAACATTTGACAATCATTACAAATTTCATTATTTCAAGTCTAAATGGGATTTTTAAGTTTGAGAGTACTCTTCAGTGGGGAGGTAGGAATAGAGTAACATTTGTGAATACTTTCAGGCTAAGAAAGCCAAAAAGAAACCAATTTTAAAACACAAAGATATCTAGAAGGAAGAATTAACCTTTCACCTGTAATCATTCCAACCTACAATTTTATTGATTTCAAAATATAGGAAAAGTTTAAGATGTATTGTTAAATATATTAACCCCCCCCCCAAATGATATATAATATTGAAGACTTTAGAAAGACAACTATGGAGGCAGTATAGTCTGTGAATCTCCTCATAAAAAACTGGTAAAATATCTAGGATAAACAAACAACAGTAACACAGCAACAATCCCAGATGATAAGCTATAACATAGCTGGGTGGAAAGGAATCCTTACCAACCCCAAAATATGAGCAGGAAGGAACAAAGCCAACTTAATATCAGCATCTGTGTAGGAGAAAATAGTGGGAAGACAACGGAGCATCTGAAAGCTCTGAGAATGGGAGGCCACCTAAACTGCCAGCAAGTAATCCCTGAAAAAGAGGAGAGAGAGAGGGGACCAGTGCTAGGTCAACAGCAAAACTAGCAGGGAGTTCAGTGAATGGGGATCCTGCAGCCTTCTGATCTCAAAATTATTCTTTTTAAAGCACCAAAGGAGGCATGAAAACCTTCATCTTTATTTGCAGCACCCCTTATAATAAAAAAATTTTGTTCAGTAAAATTTGGATTCAGCCGAAAGATCATACTCAACAAGGCCACATGAGACCTCAAGGCCCCAGGTTTCTCGCCCCTGTGCTCATGTTAAGGAATGAGAATGAAGTTGCTGGAGGGGTGTGAGGCCTGTAACCTCTCAAAACTAACAAACTGGAGCTCCATTTCTGAACATAGCTGAGCATCAAGGAGAAACCTCTGGGAGCAGAATCCAAATTGAACAGGAGAGGGACAATAGGGGCAAAGAAAAAGCAGGCCTAATATTTCAAAACAAGAACAATTTTTTAAATGATAGAAAATATTTAAAAATATATAAGACAAAAGTCTCATAAATGAAATGATTCACTAAACAAAGATTTGAAGAGAAGTAACAGAACTAAGAAAATATATATGTAGCTGGGTGTGGTGGCATGCACCTGCAGCCCCAGCTACTCAGGGAGTTGAGCCAGGAGGATCACATAAGCCCAAGAGTTGGAGATTGCAGTGAGCTATGATGATACCACTGCACTCCAGCAGGTATGACAGAGTGAGATTCTGTCTCAAAGAAAGAAAAGAAAAGATACACACACACACACACACATATATATATACATACACACAGTGCACATATATTCAACATCATGCTGGAAGTATTAACCACTGCAATAAGATTCTTTTTTTAAAAAAAATAGAAGAAACATAGACAACAGGATTGTCTACCTAGAAAATCATCAAAAAAAACCCACCAAAAAACGAAAACCTACCAACCCCCCCCAAAAAAAACCCTATTACTAAACTAATAAGTAATTATAGGATACAAGATTAACATATAAAGTCAATTGCTTTCCTATATACCAGCAGTGCAAAATTGGGACTTGAAATTAAAAAACAATAATACCCCCAAAAGACATAAATCTAATAAATGTACAGAATCTATGAGAAAAGCTTCAAAACTCTGACAAAAAGAATCAAAGAATATCTAAAGAAATGAACAGATATTTTGTGTTCATGGATTAGAAGACTCGATATTGTAGAAATGAGCACATCTAGTGCCCAAATCTTGGTTTCTAATATCATTCTTTTCTTATAGAAACCAAGGATGCTTAGAGAAATGATTTAATCTAGGATGGGAGTAAAACATTCAAGATAAGTCGTGAACATTTTGTAGTACCTGAGAATAAGGAAATGCTAAAAACCAAAACCAGAACCAGCACCAGAACAAAACCAAACCACATTCATGGAGTATGTCAAAGGAACACAGGAGCCAAGTGAAGGACCATCCAGTGGTTAGACACAGAACAACTGAAGTGACAAGTATAGTATTAGATGATACCCAAAGTGTAAAATAAATATCCATCAGTCCATACTGATGTAAATGGTTAAATACATAAATGGGAAGGAAAAAACAAATTTCTCATGGAGAGGAATTCCAAATATTTTAAGTAGATGCTCCACCCTCAGGGAGGAGGAATATCATTCTTCACTTAAGCATGGGCTTTCTTCCAAAGAGGACAGTATGGAAAATGAGGATGAATAAAAGAATAACTTTACAACGGAGAAATCTGATAACACTGTTTAGTCAATCTATCAAGGCCACCATAAATAGTGCTAAATCATTTTGAAAGTATGTACTTCTGATGTGTTGTGATGTGATGAAAATGACACTTTTCCTCTGCTCTTCTTCCTCCAAACTTACAACCTCAGTCAAATCATGAGAAAAATATCACAAAATTCCAATAGTGAAGCCTCTTACAAGAAAAACTGTCGCACCCAAGAGGAGCCTAAAGATACATGGCATGAAATGTAATGTATCCTGGCTACGTAGGATCTTGGAATGGGGTGGGGGGAAGGATTAG